TCCTCCTCCTCCTCCTCCTCCTAACCTCGCACGCCACGGGGCCCACAGGAGGAGAGTGCGGAGCAGGCTTGGCGCGGGGGCCTGTCAGCGCCTCGACTCGGGTCGGACGAAAGGGGTGGGCATCGGAAAGGGGGGGCTGGCGAGCCGGCTCATGCGGCTGGCCTTCGCAGCGGCTCCTGGCGCTGGAGGCGCCCAAGGCGTCGGGGAGAGTGCCTGGCGGAAGGGCCGAAACCAGCTGCACGCAACAGATTTCGCAGCCTCCCCCATCCCAATCCCATTCCCCCACCTTTGGTCCGACCCGAACGGTCCTCGTTGTCTGGCTTTTGGGTCTGGCCTCGAGCACCTGCGGGGCATTCGGGACGATCCAGGCACCCCTCCTCTCCTCCTCCTCCTCCTCCTCCTCCCTCCTCCTCCTCCTCCTCCTCCTCCTCTCCTCCTCCTCCTCCTCCTCCTCCTCCGCCCCCGCCCGCCTGCCTCAGTCGGCTCCCCCTCGGCCCTCTGCCCCGTCTGCACTCGGGGCCGCCTCTGCCAGGCTCCCGCCGTCCTCCTCCACACGAGCCCTGGCATGCCATGCCTGTCCTGACCAGCCTCGAACTTATCCCTATCCCCAAGATTGACAAGCCAAAATGCAATGACAGTCTTAGGGATGCGCCCTCGAAAACTAGGGGAATCCTCGAGATCGACATCGAGATGAGGACATGTCAAACATAGGGATACTGATGTGCGATTTCCCTGACCCCGCCACCCCCACTGCAGCCATCGTCCTGCCACAAGGAACGCCGACCATGAACGAGGCAGATTTTTCGGGGATCTTATGACCTGGGTCACTACAGACCCGGGCCAGTCAAGCCTGGCAGAATCCTGCAAGATCCTGCAGGATGCTGCTCCCAAACCCCCGGGCCACTGCGAAGGATCCCGCGGGGTCCTACGAGATCCTGCACCCCAACCCAGGCCAGCACGACCCTGGCCATGCAACATCCCGCAGGATCTGGCGCCCTGGCTGGCCACCCGTCTGCATCGGCCCCCGCCTCTCGAGCCCCGCCTCCTCCGGCCACCTCAGGCCCCCCGGCCACGACGAGGCTCCCCGACCCCGATCTCGGCCACGGCCCCCCACAGAAAACCGGCGGAGTGCAGCTCGCCATCTCGGCTGCCCCCCCTTTATGGCAGTGCTCCCCCGACTCTGACGCCACGGTGCTGTGCTCGTGGATGCCATGACAACGCACACCCGAGTAATTCCTATCGTTGCATGTTTTGAAATGTTGAAAAGTGTGAACCACGCTCTGAGAATGTTTGAGACCTGCTTCTTGCATGCGTAAGGCATGTCTAAGACATGTTTCGGGCATTCGGCAATTACTTGGCAGCATGCTTCCTCTCCACTGACCGTCGTCCACAATGCTATGCCATCTCCCGTGCCCCCCCCTTCCCCACTACACTTCCACTCACCCATGCCCTGTGCCCCATGCCACCTCACTGTACTGCGCCCCCACTGTACACTGCATCTCTCCGCTCCGCCTCCAGTCCCATCGTCGACGATGCCCGTTCGAGGCTGCACCGTATGCAGTGTGGCTCGACGAGCCCCAGTGGGGGCGAAACGCGTAGCCTCATGTACTTTTAGATCGAGACCCTAAATGCAGGATTTCGCTTGTTTAAGGTTTAGGATTGCGCTCATGTCGCTTAAGATTAGGTCGGGCATGTCCCCCTACAGGCGGATTCTGGACGAAAGGTAATAGATGCTCCGGAAATGATCAGAACGAGTCAAAACGCTGAAAGAATAGCCCCCATTTGTGTATTATTGAATGCTCCTCCTGTGGAGGGACACGCCCGACTTGAGAGTTGCACGTGGAGCAAGGCCGCCAGAGGCGAAAGGCCCCAGGTGTCACGCTAGGAGGCACTCCTACCCTTATGTCGGGCCTGTCCCCCTACAGGGGGATTTTCGACGAAAAATGAAAAATACCCCAAACATAGTCAAAAAATAGTCCAAAAATAATCCAGGGACTATTGTTTGAGTATTTTTGGATCTTTGGGTGGTATTTTGGGGGTATTTTTTTATTTTTCGTCGAAAATCCCCCTGTAGGGGGACAGGCCCGACCTAACCCAAGCCCCCCAAGGCCATTGGGTCCATCAGCGGTCAGGCACAAGAGGAGGGTGGCAGATCCGCCACCCGCAGGCCTCTCTCGAAGACCTGCCACAGGGCGCGCCGACACGGAGCGGAACGGAGTAGATGAGCGCAACTACTCCAGCCCCGCAAGCTCACTTTTTGTTTGAGGCCCAGAAATGGGCACCAACACCAACACAGGGGGTTGTCTCCACAGGGGGAAGATGATCCTAGATTTCAGTGCTGGTGGCAATATTTCGGTCACCTTGGAAGCCAGAATATTACCACCACCATCGAGATCGGGATCTTCTTCCCTCGGTGGAGGCACACCGCCGATACTGGTGTTGGTGTCAACCTCCAGGCCTGCGATTTTTGGCCCAGCAACCACCCTCAGAGTGCACTGGTCAGGCTTTACAGACTCCGCGCGCCTCCCACTTCCCGTCGCCGACCTCGGAGGTCACCGTGAAGGGGCCTGCGAGCAGCGCCGGCGGCAAGGGCGTGAGAGGGCCACGCCAAGGGAGGAGAGGAGCACGCACGCACGCTGGGACCGTGGGCAGAACATCGCAACAAAAAAGGCCCAGGCCACGATTCTTTGCTCCAGGAAAACCATCAAATCAGCAGCAGCAAAGGTGAGGAGGCGGGGCAGAGCTGAGAGCCGCCGGGACAGGGGCGAGATCGCGGCGATGCTCACCGAGGTGTGTCTTTGCAAAAGCTCGTGCCCGCCTGGACCAAAAGTGTAGCCGGCACTGATTCGAGAGCACGGCCATGTGTGCACCTCGGCGTACTCTTTTCGAGGGATCGCGGCCGCCCGGACCAAAAAATGTAGCAGAGCACAGACATGTGCACCTTGTATTCACCGTGGCCGTCCTGACCAGAAGATCATCAGGAGGGAAAGAAACACACAGACACAATTAATCGTCGATTCCCCAGAAAATATGAGAAAATATGGGAAGTGGGGGGGAAGACGAAAACCCGAAAAAAATTGAAAATATGGGGAATCCTTTTATTTGTATGTATTTATTTGTGTGTCCCTGGGCCCCTTGAGATTGGCCGGGCATCGAGGCGAGAGCACGATGCTCGGGAGGAAGCCGCCGCCAGGCCGTGCCGCACGGGGCGGCCTATAGGGGCTCACCGCCCCCCTGTGGGGCAGCTCCGTGGTCCTCGTCTGCCTCCCTTCGAACCCTCTGGCGAAGCACTGCTCATCGGGCGTTGGCAGAACTGGGTTTAATGGAACCTGGCTTAGTGATTTGTACTGGGGGCGCCCCCCCGTCCCATTTCCACGAACCGGAACTGCCGTCACCCGAAAAAACACCAGATATGGCAAACCTGGTCTAGTGATTCTGGCCACCTCAAAGGCTCTGGGTCCTCTTACCTGGGGTCCTGGCCATACCCGAGCTAAGGAAAAAGCTCCGGAGAGTTCCGTGCTTTGCAGCTGGGAGGGGCACGGCTCGCGAAGCGGCGCCGCCGCGGAGTCTAGGGGGGCTCTGACCAGCGGGGCGGAGAGGTGCTTCCGGCTGACAGACCTGCCCCTGAAAGTGGAGAGCGTAACAAGACACGCATGCACAAAAGCGTGCGCGTACGCGAAACTCAAGCGCAGCTGTGCGAGCCGACTGAAGAGCCTTGACATTATCCTGGCGAAGGACCCAACCATATGCAGTTGTGAATGCCGCAATTGTGAATGCCATCTTCGCCTGCGCTCCCTATGTGGCCACGGCTTCCCGCCGGAGCCCGACATGCTCAGGGACACGTTCGTGGCCGTTTTCGCGGGCGCCGACGACGACAAGGACGGCGTCCCTCTCACCGAGGAGCAGAAGCAGGAGAAGGCCTTGAGAGCCATGAGGGAGGAGGTGGCGTTGCACGTCGACAAGGCGGAGTACGACGCCCATGCGCGGTTGTTGAAGCAGCGCAACTATGGGGCCACGATCCTCGTGAGGGATGTGCCGCTATGGCCCGGGGCCGCCATGCGAACCCTGCCACTGGCGCCTTCGGTGGAGCTCCAGTGGGGCCACGGTCCTCGTGTGCCGAAATGGCCCGAGGCCGCCATGCGAACCCTGCCACTGGGGCCTTCGGTGGAGCTCCCCATAGGGCCACGATCCTCGTGAGGGGTGTGCCGAAATGGCCCGAGGCCGCCATGCGAACCCTGCCACTGGCGCCTTCGGTGGAGCTCCCTATGGGGCCACGATCCTCGTGAGGGGTGTGCCGAAATGGCCCGAGGCCGCCATGCGAACCCTGCCACTGGCGCCTTCGGTGGAGCTCCCTATGGGGCCACGATCCTCGTGAGGGGTGTGCCGAAATGGCCCGAGGCCGCCATGCGAACCCTGCCACTGGGCGCCTTCGGTGGAGCTCCCTATGGGGCCACGATCCTCGTGAGGGGTGTGCCGAAATGGCCCGAGGCCGCCATGCGAACCCTGCCACTGGGGCCTTCGGTGGAGCTCCCTATGGGGCCACGATCCTCGTGAGGGGTGTGCCGAAATGGCCCGAGGCCGCCATGCGAACCCTGCCACTGGGGGCCTTCGGTGGAGCTCCCTATGTGGCCACGATCCTCGTGAGGGGTGTGCCGAAATGGCCCGAGGCCGCCATGCGAACCCTGCCACTGGGCCTTCGGTGGAGCTCCCTATGGGGCCACGATCCTCGTGAGGGGTGTGCCGAAATGGCCCGAGGCCGCCATGCGAACCCTGCCACTGGCGCCTTCGGTGGAGCTCCCTATGGGGCCACGATCCTCGTGAGGGGTGTGCCGAAATGGCCCGAGGCCGCCATGCGAACCCTGCCACTGGGGGCCTTCGGTGGAGCTCCCTATGGGGCCACGATCCTCGTGAGGGGTGTGCCGAAATGGCCCGAGGCCGCCATGCGAACCCTGCCACTGGCGCCTTCAGTGGAGCTCCCTATGGGGCCACGATCCTCGTGAGGGGTGTGCCGAAATGGCCCGAGGCCGCCATGCGAACCCTGCCACTGGCGCCTTCGGTGGAGCTCCCTATGGGGCCACGATCCTCGTGAGGGGTGTGCCGAAATGGCCCGAGGCCGCCATGCGAACCCTGCCACTGGGGGCCTTCGGTGGAGCTCCCTATGTGGCCACGATCCTCGTGAGGGGTGTGCCGAAATGGCCCGAGGCCGCCATGCGAACCCTGCCACTGGCGCCTTCGGTGGAGCTCCCTATGGGGCCACGATCCTCGTGAGGGGTGTGCCGAAATGGCCCGAGGCCGCCATGCGAACCCTGCCACTGCAGCCTTCGGTGGAGCTCCCTATGGGGCCACGATCCTCGTGAGGGGTGTGCCGAAATGGCCCGAGGCCGCCATGCGAACCCTGCCACTGGAGCCTTCGGTGGAGCTCCCTATGGGGCCACGATCTTCGTGAGGGGTGTGCCGAAATGGCCCGAGGCCGCCATGCGAACCCTGCCAGTGGGGCCTTCGGTGGAGCTCCCTATGGGGCCACGAAGCGGTGGGTGAAACGCAGGGATGAAGAGGAGGAAGGGGGCAGCGGGAGGAGGAGTGGACGCGGGGCGCTGTCTCTTCAAAACGAGGACCCAACACCACAGGATGGTTGGGAAAAACAGGAGTGGAGGTGCAGCAGTGGGGACCATGTGGGAGGAGGGAGGAAAGAGGGTACTGGTTGTCCACCAGAGCCTGATCGGACACGAACGAGAAGCGCCGATTTTGTCCATTGGGCTCGTAGAGGGGAAAAAAGAAAACGATGATGGCGACGACAAGGCGGCGGATGACGAGGATAGCGTGGATGACGGGTAGGCAGCGAGAGGAGCAGGAGGACAACGAGTAGGAAGACGAGCACGAGGAGGAGGAGAAGGAGGAGGAGGAGACGTACGAGGAGGAACGAAGCGGAGGATGAGGAGGGGAAGAGCGATGACGACGACGACGACGACAACGACGAAGAAGACAACGACAACGACGACGACGACGACGACGACGACGACGACAACGACGAAGAAGACAACGACAACGACAACGACGACGACGAAGAAGACGGACGACGGACGACGGACGACGGACGACGGACGACGGACGACGGACGACGACGACGACGACGACGACGACGACGACGACGACGACGGCGACGACGACGACGACGACGAAGGAGGACGTAAGGAGCGCGGCCTCTTGGGGGCATGTCGGGGTCCTCTTGGGGGCCTACTGGGGTCCTCTTGGGCTGCCTGGGCGTGCCTTGGGGTTCTGTGCTCGCGCAGGCCGTCTTGGCGCTGTCTCGGGCTGTCTTGAACAGTCTGAGGTCCTCTTTTTTTGGGGGGGGGGCAGGAGCACTCTAGAGGCTTCGGAGCCCTCGGGCCTCAAGCGGAGTGGACGGGGTCCTCTTGTGGGGGAAAGGAAAAAGGAAAGCACTTGTGTTTCACCAGAATCCGCCACCGTGCTGCTGGGCACGGAGTGGGCGTGTCCTTGGGTGCTCTGCCCAATCCCCTGGGCCTCGGTCCTCACTCCTGAGGAGACTTTGTTCAAGGTGCCCAGAGCCCAAATTGCCGAATCCCCCGCGGCTTGGCGCGGCTGCCCTGGGCTCACCCGCATCTTGTCGCATGACTTGTCCGGGCCCAAGAGGGCCCCGACATGGACCACGAGGGCACCAAAAGGCCCAGAAGACGGTCCGAGAGGGCCCCCAGTCGCCGAACGATCGCTCCAAGACGCTCAAGATGGCTCCCAGACGGTCGACGAGGCCTCCGAGACGTCCCAAGAGGCCTCTAAGGGGCCTCCAAGAGGGCCCCAAGGAGCCGAAATCATCAATTGTTCATAGGTCTTTGAAGTTTTTTGGCGGTCTCGCCTTTTCGGCTTCCCGACGCTCCCAGACAGCCGTAGAGGCCCCCAAGATCGCCCCAAGATCGCCCAAGAGGCCTCCGAGAGGGCTCCAGAACGGCCCAAGAGGGCCCCAAGACGGCCTAAGGTGCGCCCAAGACGGCCCAAGAGGCCCAAATGACGGCCCCAAGCGAAGGCCTAGATGGGGTAACCAAACAAACATTTCAAGCCCTCGGCCCCGAGGGCCCCCCAGGAGGCCCCAAGAGGCACCCAGCCCTCAAGGCGCCCCGACAGATCCCCAAGAGCCCCCGAAAAGGTCCCCAAGAGGGCCCCTGGAGGCACCCAAGAGACCCCAAAACTGCCCCCAAGAGGCCGCCGAGAGCGGTCCGAAGAGACGCCAAGAAGCATCCCTGAGAACTCGAACCCGCAACCCACGCACGGTGGCGGGATGGGCCGAAGGCCACTAGATCCGCCGCCCCCTGCTTGCAGGGGTGCACGGCGTGCTGGATGAGCTGTTAGGTTTTGGTTTTGGTTCTTTTTCCAAAAGAACTCTCCAGTGGGCTCCGGCCCGTCCCGCCACCGTGCCCAAAAACGGCCGTTTCGCTCGGGACATCCTCAAAAAATCGCGAAGATGGCCCAAGATGGCCTCCAAGTCCGCCCGAGATGGTCCAAGACGGCCTCCAAAACGGCCCAAGAGAGTCCAAGACGGCCCAAGACGGCCCAA